GAAAGTACACGCAGTAGGGACTGGTGGCTCAGCGAGTTAAGCATCCAACTTCGGCTAAGGTCACGATCTCAAGGTTCATGAGTTCGAGTCCGGTGTCGGGCTCTCTGCTGTCAGCACAGAGCCTGCCTTGGATCCTCTGTCTCCCTCTCTCTCTGCCCCTCGTCTGCTTGTTCTCTCTCTCTCTTTCTCCATCTCAAAATATATAAATAAACTTAAAAGAAAAAGAACATTGAAAATGTAGACCTGTAAAATAGTCCTGCTGCTTCAAGTCCCTTAAAATGATTAAAAAACACAAGAAAGGAAAGCAAAACTTTGAAGCAAAAATCAGCAGAGTCCAAGTAACTGGAAGGAAGCGCTCTTACTCCAAGTGGCTGCTGCTGTAGGCGTTGCGGGTGAGAACCGGTGTGGTGGGCATGCTGCGTCCTCCCTGGGGCCGCCTCTCCAGGGTTCTGTAAGGGCTGCTGTGTGTCGACAGCATTTCCCTGTGATGGTAAGGAGAAGAATTGCGGAAATGATGAGCCTCCCCACATCTCCGGCAAACATCCTAAGGTGCTTTGAAACTTACTGGAAGCTGAAGGAAGGGAGCATAGGAGGATACTGGGAAGGGTGTCTCAGTAGCCTGTTATGTCCTAGGTGAATCTGAGGGGAAACGTGAGTGATCTCTCTGAGTCATAAATAGGAAGGAAAATAATTTAAAAAACTTTTTAAAAGAGTATACTGAATAAAAGAGACTGGAAGCAACTAGAGGGATGCCTGGGTGGCTCAGTCAGTTAAGTATCAGACTCTTGATTTCGGCTCATAGTCATGGGATCGAGTCCTGCGTCCGGCTCTGTGCTGAGCACACAGCCTGCTTAAGATTCCCTCTATCTCCCTCTGCCCCTCCCCGGCTCATGCTCTCTCCTCTCTCTCTCAAAACAAACAAACAAACAAACAAACAAACAAACAAACAAACAAACCAACAAACAGAAAAACCAACCAACTAGAGCAGGGGCAGCAAAGCCTTTTTCTGTAAAGAGTGTAATAGTCAATTTTTTTGGCTTTGCCAGCCAGATGGCCCTGTCTTGACTGCTTTACTCTGTCCCTGAAGTACAAAAGCAGTGTAGACAAGATGTAAGTGAATGGGAGTGGCTGTGTACTGGTAAAGCTTGGCTGTGGATACTAAAAGCCAAATTTCATATAATCTTCACATTTGATTTCCCCTCCAACTATTTAAATTTTTTTTTTTTTTCAACGTTTTTATTTTATTTTTGGGACAGAGAGAGACAGAGCATGAACGGGGGAGGGGCAGAGAGAGAGGGAGACACAGAATCGGAAACAGGCTCCAGGCTCCGAGCCATCAGCCCAGAGCCTGACGCGGGGCTCGAACTCACGGACCGCGAGATCGTGACCTGGCTGAAGTCGGACGCTTAACCGACTGCGCCACCCAGGCGCCCCCCCCTCCAACTATTTAAAAGTACAAAAACCATTCTTAGCTCACAGGCCACACAAACCAGGTGGCAGGATGAATTTGGCCAGTGGGTTGTTGTTTTCAGGCCCGTGGATGAAAAGGCAACATACTTAAATCACTTTGTCCACTTCCCAGCATGGTGAGAGCACAATTTGAAGTCAGTTTTTTAATTAAACATGACTTTGAATACATTTTTACTAGTACCAAAGCACAAGTTCATTGCAGAAAATTTTGAAAATACAGATTAAAAACAAGAAAAATTTAAATGTCTATAATCTTGAACCTCAGATATAGCCAGTCAACACTGAATATTTTCAGATATTTTTACTAAGCATATTTACTTACAAGCATTTACAGTTTTTAACAATAAAAAAATAAGATCTTACTGTATATTCTCTTTCAAAGCCCACATTTAAAAATAACTCTATCTATGGGGCACCTGAGTGGCTCAGTCGGTTAAGCGTCCGACTTCAGCTCAGGTCATGATCTTGCAGTTCGCGAGTTTGAGCCCTGCATCAGGCTCTGTGCTGACAGCTCAGAGCCTGGAGCCTGCTTTGGATTCTGTGTCTCCCCACCTCTCTCTCTCTCTGCACCTCCCTGCTGGTGCTCTGTCTCTCTCTCAAAAAATACATAAACATTAAAAAAAAAACCCCAAACACCTCTATCTAATGTTCTTTGTTGGTTAATATTCATCTACAATGTTATTTTAATGACAGTTTAGCCTTCCACTGTAAGGACTTGTAACACATTTAAACAATCTACTAGTTAAACATTTGGGTTATTTTCAGTTTGTCACTAATGTAAACAGTGCTGTGATGAGCATCCTGTAGTTAACTAATTCAACAGGAAAAATTCCTCTAAGTCAGATTGCTGGATCAAAGAGCAAACCTATCTTAAGCTATTAAGGAAGTAGGTATAATAATTTTTAAGATAAGATTTCTGGTTATAATTTTTTCCCTTTTGCTGCAATAGCTTTGTTTTCTCCCTAATATAATAAATACACTTGTCCAGTGCTATCCAATGGCGGAAATGTGTTGTATCTGTGCTGTCCAATATTCTACCATTAGCCCACATGTGCCTATTAGCACTTGACATATGGTTAGCATGACTGAGGAAGTGAATTTTTTTTTTTAATTTTTTTTTTTTCAACGTTTTTATTTATTTATGGGACAGACAGAGACAGAGCATGAACGGGGGAGGGGCAGAGAGAGAGGGAGACACAGAATCGGAAACAGGCTCCAGGCTCCGAGCCATCAGCCCAGAGCCTGACGCGGGGCTCGAACTCACGGACCGTGAGATCGTGACCTGGCTGAAGTCGGACGCTTAACCGACTGCGCCACCCAGGCGCCCCCTGAGGAAGTGAATTTTTAATTTTATTTACTTTTAATTCAACTGGCCAGCAGAGCTCTAAACACTTGGATTTCTATTATTTAAGGCAACAGTTCTAAATGCTAACAACTGGGGCTGAGAGGTGATAAAAGCTGTCACTGGTCTTTGAGAAATGAGAAATACAACAAAGCGCTAGCTTTATTTTCATAGGGAAGAATTATTTAATCTAAACAATCTTCCTATATTTTAAGACAAACTTCTACCTTTGCTGAGATGCAGTGTCACGTGCTAGCTAAAAATCACATCACAGGCTTTGGAGTGACGCTGCTGAGGTTCAAATCTTGACTCTAACATTTATTAGTTGATGAACCCAACAGGTCATTCAAGCTTTCTGGTCCCTGGTGTGCTTCTCCGTAAAAGGTAATGATATTAAAACACTTTGAACAGTGTCTGACGTACCGTAAGTGTCCAAAATGTTAACTTCATCGTCTTAGTTTTATGACAATGGCTGTATTTTTTATTTAATGTCATTTGTTCCCCCGTGAAATCACAGTATTGTTATTTGAACATTCTGAGTAGCCAGAGTAAACATTTGGTAATCCTATCTTGGGCCCTATTTATTTTTTCTTTTTTTAATAGTATTGATCCACGCAGTCAAATTCTGAGAATCACTGGCCTGTCGTCATCTTTTTACAAGCTGGTGTTACTGCCTGATAATATTTACCTGAGACATTTGAGAAAAAAGTCATATCATCTATTTTACAGATTAAAATGAGTTGAAGTCTCATTTCTATTTGAAAGATTAGAAGTCATTTCTGTCACTTGCACTGATGGAGTGATAGTTAATGACGGTTTCCTGAGACCATGGGTTATGAAACTAAACTTTGGACATTATATCCCAAACCCACACTATAAACAAGGTCCCCTAGAACCTAACATAAATCAAACAGACTTTAAAATATAGGAAACTGCCAAATGCTTTGAAAAGATCTCTTAGAAACACTTGCACTTGCTGTCGACAACAAATGACGGGGTTAGTTTCTAGGCTTTGGTTTTAAAAGAGAATCCCTGGGGCGCCTGGGTGGCGCAGTCGGTTAAGCGTCCGACTTCAGCCAGGTCACGATCTCGCGGTCCGTGAGTTCGAGCCCCGCGTCAGGCTCTGGGCTGATGGCTCGGAGCCTGGAGCCTGTTTCCGATTCTGTGTCTCCCTCTCTCTGTGCCCCTCCCCTGTTCATGCTCTGTCTCTCTCTGTCCCAAAAATAAATAAAAACGTTGAAAAAAAAATTAAAAAAAAAAATAAAAGAGAATCCCTTTTGAAAGGACAAAGAGGGTAATGTCAAAAAGGCTGAACCATTTTGAAGGTAAGATCTCATGGCTGTGAGGATACTGATGATGTGACTTCTCACCTGGACTGCCTGGTATCCACAAACTGTTCATTGACAGACGACTTTCTGAAATGGATTCGCTCGATACCGAGAGACTTGGGGGGAAGAATTCTTGGAGAATGAGGTACTGAACTTGGTCGCTGCCCAGCAAGAGTGAAGGCATCAGCTATAGTAAGTAAATTAATGAATGGATAAATAAGTAGGTAAATAGATAATAAAACCTTGCCAGCACCCAAAAAACAAAACAAAAACAAAAACAAAAAACCAAAAAACAAACCAGAAGACCTGGTGAACATACAGTTTTTCCACAGATGGTTTTGGAAGTATATTACTTTCAGGAAATTTATTTTTGTACTTTATACACTAGAAAAAAGAAATTACTGAATACTGCTGACCCTTGAACAACACAGGTCTGAACTGCATAAGTCCACATAAGCAGGAATTTTTTTTCTTAAATACAGTACAGCACTGCAAATGTACTTTCTCTTCCTTAGGATTCTCTTCATAACATTTTCCTTTCTCTAGCTTACGTAACTGTAAGAATACAGTATTTAATACATGTAACAGATATGTGTTAATTGACTGTTTAAGTTAATGGTAAGGCTTCTGCCAACAGTAGGCTGTTAGTAGTTAAGTTTGGTGGGGGGAGTCAAAAGTTATACTTAGATTTTCAACTATGGGGGATGTGGCCACCCCAACCCCCACATTGTTCAAGGGTCAACTGTACTCGTGTGGGGCCTGATCCAACTTTTGCCAATTCAGTAGGTGCCGCTCCGAGCAAAGAAACTACTCAGGTGGAATGGGTGATACTAGAGCTTTTCGAGAGTTATTTTAAAGAGCTCCTGGGGCTCAGTCATTTAAGCGTCCAACTTCGGCTCAGGTCACAATCTCACAGTTCCTGAGTTCGAGCCCCGCACCGGGCTCTGTGCTGACAGCTCAGACCCTGGAGACTGCTTCGGATTCTGTGTCTCCGTCTCTCGGCCCCTCCCCCACTTGTGCTCTGTCTCTATCAAAAATAAATAATCATTAAAAAAAAAAAAAAAAGACACTTCTTCCACCACAAACAACGAAAAACCCTAGTGTGTAAAAGGCCAAAGGGAAGCTATCCTATGAAGCTGGAGTGGATCACTTTGTTCACCTTTCAAGTTCTTCGGCCTCTTTGGCTGACCAGAGAGGCTCATCCTGTCATTGAAAGTAATATAACTGATCGATGCTGAGTCATGAGAGCCTTGTTATGCCCCCCCACTGACGTGTGCATTTTCAAAGAGGAATGGCAAGCATGACCCAATTTCAGCTCAAGGAAAGAATTTGGAAATGCTGGAGTTTCATGCACCGTTAACACTTGGGGTGGGGTGGGGCTGGAGGAGATAAAACAGTATGGGTAGCAGTTTCCCAAAATTCTTTAAATCATGTCATTCAGGTAGCCACTCCTCTGCTTAAGCACAAAGGATTACAAAGAAATACTCTCTCACTTGATACGAAATCCATTCCATCAGGAAATGTGTGGAACACAGGCCATCAGAACACTAATGGCCTTCCTCTATGAAACCAACACAATGACAACCCAATTTCCAAAATGTGTATGTCTTCCTAAGGAAAATAAAATAAACTCCTAGCTATCCAGAATACAGTGATAATCAAAGTTTACACTGTATTTCTTGGTTTGAGATTAGACTCCAAAAATATAAGATGTCACCATTGGGAAAAGGTGAGTGAAAGACTATTATTTACGCAAATCCCTGTGAACCTGTAATCATTTCAAGATAAAATGTTTAAAAAAATCCTATAGAGTGGAGGCTGGCTGGCCCAGTAGGTAGCGCATGCAACTCTCGACCTCAGGATCGTAAGTTCAAGCCCCACATTGGGCATGGCGCTTAGTTAAAAGTAAAATAAAATAAAAAGTAAAGTAAAATAAAAATAAAATAAAAGTAAAATAAAATGGGTGGCTCAGTTGGTTAAGCATCTGACTTTGGCTCAGGTCATGATCTCATGGTTCGTGGGTTCGAGCCCCGCATCGGGCTCTGTGCTGACAGCTCAGAGCCTGGAGCCTGCTTTGGACTCTGTCCCCCTCTCTCTGACCCTCCCCTTGCTCGTACTGTCTCTCTGTCTCTCTCAAAAATAAATAAACATTAAAAAAATTAAAATAAAATAAAAATCCTATTAAAAAAATCCTACAGAGCCTCACAAACGCTTACTGAGAAACTGACTATCACGCGAGTAATAGTCATGCAATTTGTATGGTACTGTATTTTACTTAATGCTGAATTAACCTGGATAGATGTTAATCATCGTCTCTGCTCCCTAACCATCCTGCATAAGTTAGTTGATTCTACTTTTCCCAAAAGAATAACATGTAGGCTTTACCAAATTAAAGCAATTGTCTTAGTAGTTCAAAATATATAACATATTAAATCAAAATAACATACTTACAATCATCATAGGTGGTAGTGTCAGACAAGGAGCTGCTCTCTGATGGGATTATGTCTTCTGTGAATAAAAATAAGTGCCTTTAGAATAACTGGGCCTTTATATACCTATAGTGAGTTTAATAAAGCAATTCTCAACGGAGTGCATCTTATTTTTATTTAGTAAGCATAACTAATTACAGTGCATTGAGGATAATTAACAATCATAAAAATGGAATAATTTCCTGCCAAAAATATAAACATCTTAGATGTCATACAAATATGACTATGTGTCATATACAAATAGTCCATACAAAAATGGACAGATATGGACTATTTCTTAAAATAGCACCGACTTCAAGGGAGTTTTCGTACGCAGCAAGTTTCCAATCTAGCTTCTACATGAGATGAAAACTGTACCCTACACATTGAGGGCTTGTAACCAACGAACCGGAAACAAAAATCATTCCATTCGTGTCATAAATACTAAATGTTATGTAACATACACTTGAACCTTCATGTGAAAATCCGTTAGTGTAAATTAATTTTTGAATCCTCCCTGAAGAAAAGGGACTGTTCTTAATAGGTGAACACTTTGTGGAGCATGACCTTCTCGGTGAGACCCGGGTGTCTATGTGGCACTACGGACATTTTGGACTGGACAATTCTTCGCTGACGGGAGCTGTCCTTCGCAATGAAGGATCTTCAGCCTCCACTACTCTCTCTCAGCAGCACCTCCACACTTGGTTGTGTCAACCAAAAATGCCTGCAGACATTGCCAGGGTTTCCCCGGGGTGCAAAATTGCTCCTGGTTGAGAACCAACAGATTAGACAGACCTGGGTTTAATTCTTGGTTTTGTCACTTACTGGCTGTGAGACCTTGGGCAAATGACTTACTCTCTCTGAGTATCCTTTGGGTCAACTGGAACAGGAATATGACTAGGATGTGGTCTGCAGTGCCGAGGTGAGCAGTAAGTGAAGTAACGGATGTACAGCCCTTAGCCTGGCTCCTTGCACAGGGCAAATGCTCAATAAATGTTAGCTACACGTCTTGCTTTTATTACCTAGACACAGCATTCTGGTGGCGGGAAATGCCCATTATGCTCCTGAGTGTTACCGCTGCCCATCAAATGTTAAAAAATGTGGTTAGAAATAACAATCTTCTCAGATGTGTTGATCTGCCTGGCAAAACATTCCATACACAGGCATGTATTGGCATGAGTACTGGCGTGATTACAGGCAAATACAGCACCTTCGTATTCACTTTTTTTTGCCATTATGAAGGAAATCTCTCCCACCTGATCTCAAATGATGTTAATCTCCATCAGAGCCAGGCGGACTATTTCTTAATTGGACACACAGTAGTAGAGCTTGAAGGCAAGGTGCCAGTACAGTCAGCTGTCAGGCACATTAAAAAAAAAAAAAAAATCTACCCAATAATCTGCTGTCCAAATGTCACTCATTATAGAGGAGATCACTTGAATCTTGCACAGTTTGGAGATGAATGGGCCACAACAAATGGTTATGAAAGTTAAGCACACTGCTAATCACCTATCTCTGTAGGTCCAGAATGTAACCACCTCCAAGGCCAACTGGACTTCTCATTCAGAGTCAAAGCCATCCTAAATTCTCCAGCTGTAGCTGACTAACATTTGTGCGTTGATGTCTGTGCATTCACAAAAGCCATATCTCTGCTTCATAAATCATACGGCCCTAAACCCAAATATATTCTATAAGCCTAGTTACCATATTTCATCAAATCTAAGATATATAACTATTGATGTCTCCGTTAAAAAAGAAAAAGTATTGCCAATTACAATGGTAATACACCATCTAGTATAAAAATTATTCAAATTTCACAGATGTTTAAATGTGGAAAAAATAGTCTTGGGATCAAAGAAATATAAGCATATTTCAACCAGTGATCAAGGCTGAAAACCATGCTGATAAAGTAAGGCCAACTGGACTTGGAATCTACCTAAATGAGATTTTCAGTGTACTTTTTCCCTGAATATGAAAGTCTTAGGTATATAATGTTGAGAATTTTGAAGATACAGAAAATTACTTAAAAAAATTAAGTTATTTGAAATTCCACAGCTACTAGTATTTTGAAATATTTCCCAACCAGTTCTTGTAAGTGCATATTTATATAATATCAGGATCATATTGTGGTTACAATTTTATACCCCGCTTTCTGCACTCCATGGTATATCACATTTGTCCCTATCTTTAAATAGCCTCCACACATGGCAGGAACTGTAAAAGCTCTATTCACAAATGTTACATAGGTATTAAGAAAATGTATGGTCCCTGCATTAAAAACCTTTCAGAAACTACTGGGTAGGCCCAGCTCTCTTACTACTCCGTGACGTTGAGTGTATTTCTTGCAATGACATCAGGCCAGTTAAAGGTGAATCTGTTAGGGGCGCCTGGGTGGCGCAGTCAGTTAAGCGTCCGACTTCAGCCAGGTCACTATCTCGCGGTCCGTGAGTTCGAGCCCCGCGTCAGGCTCTGGGCTGATGGCTCAGAGCCTGGAGCCTGTTTCCGATTCTGTGTCTCCCTCTCTCTCTGCCCCTCCCCCGTTCATGCTCTGTCTCTCTCTGTCCCAAAAATAAATAAACGTTGAAAAAAAAAAAAAGGTGAATCTGTTATATCATGAACGAATATAGCCATGAATGCTGTTTCATCCTGAAAATTTAAGCAACGCAATAGTGTAGTGTTACAACAGTGAGAAGGTCACCGCAAACCAAGTTCACATACTTGTAACACTGAATTCCCAAACCATTTTTACCCTAAGAAACTTACCTTTAATCGTGTTCTTTCTTTTATCTCTTACCAAATGAACTAATTTGGAAATGCTAGATACCATCAAGGATATATCGACTACGTGACTCAAGGAACCTTACTTCTTACGAACCTGGTAAAATCACTGTTGCTTTCTGGCTGGGTTTCTTTCCACATCTGATCCGGTATTCATTTATCGCGTTTTCAATGTCCTGAAGCTTTTTCACAGCATCCGTGTAATCCTGCTTTCGTTTTTTCTTCACGGTTTTACAAAGGTCTGGCTCGTTGGCAAGTTTCTTCGCAGCTTCAACCAGCTTTTGCTGTATTAGGAAATTGCTCTCCAGTTCTTGTAGAGCAGGGTCCTGCATTTATACAATGATACCGTTTCTTGTACATTTTCAAATCAGGTGCTCTTTGAGAATAAAACCTTCCTAAGTTTACTGCATATGTAACTTCAAACACTTTCCTGGAAGACAAACCTTCCTCATCTATTTACCTCAACTTATCACTAATACGGCTTTTTTTCTTTTAAAGAAGGGAATGCCCCTGCAATCAGTTAGTTGGTTGGGTGATGATGATATTTTTGAAGGAGAGATTCTTAATCCAAGATTCACAGACATCGACAGTTAGTTATGTTAACACACATAGCTTTAGAGACAGATACATTTGAGTTTGATTTCTCTTTCTAATGGTTCCTGGTTGCGTGACCCTGGAAACACTGCTGAAATTTTCTAATGTTACAGGTTTTTCTCATTTTGTATCTCCATTTCTTTCTTTCTTTCCTTTTTATTTTTTCTGTGCATCTCCATTTCAAATGCAGGTAACATCTACCTTATAAAAATACGGCAAAGGTTACATGAGAATAACATATGTGCATTACTTAGCTCAGGACTGGGTATACTCTATAAGTTGCAAAGCTCACTCTAATCACGATGGAAACTGCTATCATTTCTAAAGCCAAGATGGCTAAATTTGGGCAAGAAGCAGGAGTAGGGTCCTACTGTCTGATGACTCAGATGAGAGAAAACACTGTATACTGGAACTTTATTATACCCGAATGCTGCACACGTATTATCTCATTGAAACTCCTTGCATCCCTCAGTGGGAAAAACAAAGATTACTCCCACTTTATGGATGAAGAAACTGAGGTCTGGGAAATGAGACTTCAGAATGGGCAAAACTTATTTGTCAAAGGTTTCTCTGTTTGCTCAGAAGAGTCTAACGCTAGAGTTCTTAATTCTCATAATAACGTTCCTCAGTTTACCCACAGTTGGAGTTTGTTTCAAGCTCCCTGTGTGCGGAGGAGTAAAAAAGTGAGAAACAACTCAAATGTACGGAGACGGTGCACGAAAGAAAGAATCGTGTGGTCTACCGTGTCACGTTCAAGTGGCGAGTGCGAGATAAAAATGTACAGCGGTGACTCGAGCACCAAAGGGACAAGTCAACCACATTCAGCTGACAGCTCTTTTGTTGTGTGGTGAGTAGAAATGCTCGTGCTGATGCTCATACCTCCTCGCTGGGCAGCAGGTTGTCATCCAGTTTGAACGCGGCACCCACACGCCTTCTGACCTGAGGCGGTTTCTCACCGACGTTCAGCGGATATTCCTTTGGCATTTTGCCCGTGAGCTCCTGTAAAACAGGACCGAATCGAGAGGGGGATAACTGACACAGGCCGGGGTTGTCAAACACAAAGTGAAGCGTCCCCCAGACCAGAGAAGACACTCACAGCCTCCCGCAAACAGATCTTCTTAAGCTCCTCGACTTTCTTCAGGAGTTTTTCTTGCAAGAGCTTCTCCTTCTTCCTGAGCTCGAGGATTTTCTCCCTCTTCTGCTCCTCACTAACTTCTGAGTCTTGAGAACCTGGAGGGATTGGGAGGGAGGGCAGGGAAGGTTTATCCGAGGCATGTTTCCTTCCTTTTTAAAGGACAAAGGATTTCTAAGTGAAACCTGCTATTAAATCATAATTTATTTCTTTTCTCCTTGTTTCTGAACATAATAAAAGGAAACTGGAGAACATTTTCTCAGGCTTCTGGGCATCCAACAGAGCCTGGTAATTATATATACCTTCTGTATTTTGGCTCAGTCAGTTTAGAAGCGATGATAAAATGCTTAATGTTTCAGACATACCCAAGGAAGAATTTCAGTTTTCTGAGCAGGAGAGAAGGTAAGATGTTCCTGGAGATAATTGTTTAGAATGTCCTTTTAGAAAGCAAGCAAGCAAGGCAAAGGAATGTTGTGTGCTTCAGATTAAGAGCTGACAATAGGATTTAGATGGGAAAATTCATTTGAATTAAGTTACATATACTTGGTGATAAGAGATTCCAGAATTTCTACAGAGGAAGGGCTTCCGGCAGCAAACACACTGGGGGGGTGGGACTGGGGTGAAGTTTGAAGCTTGTAGTCACGTTTGGCTATATATTAAGTAGAGAATTAGCCGAGTGTCTGAACAGAAACTAATTATTGGGAGAAGAAGCTGATAGAACGTATGGGGAGAAAATGTCCTTTCAAATTACCCTGAGCACTCAGTATCGTTGTATCTAGTGTTATTTATACAAGCTTTTTATAATTTAACTTTCCTTATACTTAAAAAAAATTGGTTTATGCTGCAATGCTGCAGGTTTTGATATGCTTATTTATTCCCCAAATAATGGGTCTAAAATGCATTTAAAAGTGGCTGCTGACCCTTACAAAACAGCAAAATAAAGATTGTTCATACTTTCCCAAAACATTACCTGAAGATATTAAGCTGCCATTACTCGCCATGATGAACTGACTTTTTGCCTCCAGTGTCACCATTTTGGAGACCCTTGGTGTTCCTGTCTCTGTCAAATCCATCGCGATATCATCCAAACTCCTGGCTGAAGGAATTTTTGCCTAAGAGGTATACAACATTGAAACAGAATTCACTCAACTGAACCTATTTCAAACTGATACAATGATTAAGTTGCTATGGGATAAGTATGTCACACGAAGGACAACTCAGAATTTTTATATGCTAACGTGACACTTCAGAAGAAAAACATAGGAGACTTAAGCTTACAGCTCAAATGTTCAAATAACTATGCATGAATCCCTCTCACGGTATAGTTCAACCATTAACCTGAACACATCACCTGTGGACACGTGCCCACATGCCAAAAAGTTGGCGAGTCTTAGAACTTTTAAATCAGGTATATATTGCCCGTCTTTTAATTTTTTTTTTTTTTTTTTTTTTGATAGACAGAGAGAGACAGAGTACAAGCAGGGGAGGGGCAGAGAGAGAAGGAGACACAGAATCCGAAGCAGGCTCCAGGCTCCTAGCTGTCAGCACAGAGCCCGAAGCGGGGCTCGAACTCACAAGTTGCGAGATCATGACCTGAGCTGAGTGAGGTCGGATGCTTAACCGACTGAGCCACCCAGCGCCCCGCCCGTCTTTTAAATGTAAGAAAAATTAAAACAGGTGGTCAAAAAGTTTATTAGAACTCAAAGACCAAAAACCCACGTGCTCGCATCTTTTCTGAGAAAGCTTATCTTCCGAACAGAAAGCAAACGAGGGAGGGAAGTCGGCTCCCATAAGAAGCACTCCTGTTACTTACTTTGCTTTGCTTCCGGTCCAAATAAAACTGATGCTGACTAATTGCCATTACCCAGATGGACTTGATGAGAGAAGGGTTTGCATACCACGTTTGCACAAAGAGGCCACTTTGCCCAAAGGTTCTTCTTGACACAGAAATCCTGAAAGATGAAGGAAAGCATTTGAATTATTCACCTCTGCCCCAGCACAACACAAAATGTAACCAGTGAGTCATGTTATCATGAAGCATCTACCTAATTGTTTTTCTGCTGCTCTACTGATGCCAACAGGGGCCACGCTTCTGATTTTCTCCTTTTATGACAAAACCAGTTGCACCTGGATAGTCTCTTTTTTTAGAAAACTAGCATGTTCAAAAATGCATACACACATACTCAAAAGCAGATAAGAACTAGGCAAATTAGAGGCTGTACCAGAAATGTTTGGTTACAAACCACAGGATGTGAGGCCATCAGAAGAGTCTGGGAATAAATGTGGTAATACTTCAAAGACAAAACCGCCAAGAGGGGAGGGTCAGCACCTTCCTCAAGGTAAAAGAACAGCTCAGATCTAGGTTGACTTGTCCAGCTATGACATTATCAGAGGATGAACATGATAATGTTGTCTGAAGATACGCAAGTCTGAAACTGGTCCAGCGTGGGGCTTATGCACCAGATAAAAAGAGGAGAAAGGGTGAGAGGAGGAGAGAGTGAAAGGAGAAGGAAGGTGGGGGAGGGCAGGCAGATGCTGCGGGGAAGAAGGGACAAGGATACAGTGTTCTGTGCAGGAATCTGACTTGTCTCTTGGGGTCATCTTTTTGTCACAGCTGTTTCCCCCCATCCCTCTAACCTCCGAGCATCCACCAACATGTCTGAAAGGCAAACACTGAGGACTGAAAATGAATTCCTCTGAGGAGCTTGGAGCGCCTCCAATCCTGACTTCAATCCATGTTGATAACCTGGCAACCGTTGTTTTAAAGTGCCCAGGAAGACCCAGTTAAAAAGTGAGCAAGGGATACGAACAAGGGATTTCTCTAGTGAAGACACACCAGCGGCCAAGAAGTACATGAAAAGATGCTCAGCCACCATTTTGAATTGAGGGAAATGCAAATCCAAACCAGAAGGGCTATCGCTATATATCACCAGGATGGCTATTAAAAAAGCAACCAAAAAATAACAAGTGTCAGGGAAGATGTGGAGAAAATGGAACCATACGTATTGCTGGTAGGAATGCAAAATGGTGTAGCCGCTTTAGAAAACAGTGTGGCAGTTTCTTAAAAGGTTAAAGAAAGAATTACCATTTGACCCAGCAATTCCCCTCCCAGTATATCCAGGAGAAATGAAAACATACATCCACACGCAAAAAACTGCACATGAATGTTCCCAGTAGTGTTATTCAGATAGTCACCAGGACCAAACAAAGAAAAGGCTGTCATCCTCACCTCCGTGGATCGTGAACTTCAACGGCAAATTTTTTCTCACGGAAATACAAGTTCTCGAGCTGTTTCCATTGGAATAACTAAGCAATTAAGAAAAAAAACCAAAAACATAGAGCTTTAATGAACACTAATTTTTACCAAAGCTAGGACCATCTGGTTTTTTTTTTAAATTTTTAATGTTTATTTATTTTTGAGAGAGAAAGAGACAGAGTGTGAGTCGGGGAGGGGCAGATAGAGTGGGAGACCCAGAATCCCAAGCAGGCTCCAGGCTCTGAGCTGTCAGAGAGCCCGATGCGGGGCTGGACCCCACAAACTGTGAGATGATGACCTGAGCTGAAGTCGGATGCTTAACTGAATGAGCCACCCAGGCGCCCCTAAAACCCATCTTAATCACCAAATAATCAATAAGGTACACTAAGACAAAGCACGAATACGTGACACAGTCTTTTTACAAATCAATAACCTGAAACCATTTTATTCCTTTCTCTGACTAATCTGCAGCTCACTAATAAATCTTCCTTGAAGTATAAAACCAGGCAAGTATAGGGAACATGCATACTATTTTTTCCCCCTGACTCAACTAAATAAAGAGAATTAGTAAGGAAATCCTCACACATTCCAGTAAGCACATGCCTTCTGATCAAAGATGCTGACTTCATATTTAAGTGGAAAGATATTCAAAGGGGTGTTTTAGTAGAACCACAGATTAAATTTCAAAAGGAGGCAAAGTGAAAGTAAAACGGAACCCCAAGCAGGGGTGATTCTCTGTGATACAGTTTCCCGCCTGCAAGAGTTCCCCTAAATGTGACGGAAACTTAGCTCCAGGAACTGGAACAAAGGTCGGGTGGGGGTAAATGCGGGATTGCCCTCTTGGTTTCTGAACTGGAGCCTCCAGTTTTTGTAAATAGAACCCACTTGTATATTCCCACTGCCGACACGCTAATGCTGCGCTCAGTATCATTTGCCAATTGGTTGGGAGAAACAGAATTAACTAGCAATGTGCAAATGACTGAAAACCCAATAATGTCTCAAACGAGATTGAACGCCCTGCTGTATTTTCTGGGATCATTCCCAACCCTCTTGTACTAGCCCGAGCCTCAGCTTTTCGTCTCCACTCGGACGTCATCGTTGAGTTTGTCTCACCATTGATGATTATTACACTTTGGCTGGAGTTTGAAATTATGTTCAAAGAATCTCAGAGGAGCATTTCAATTTTCTAAATAATAATAATAATAAGTTCTCTGCAACACACCCTCAGCACCACCATTTGAGCCAAGACTTTTCATGAATGTGTGAACCTCAAGTCCCTACGCACAGGTAACTAGGATACAAAAGCATGCAAACTGGAACCCCCAATCCCAAACACAGTGACATAAATCAGCACGCACTAAAAACACAGCCCTTTCTTGCCCGACATACAGACAGCGTAACTACAATCACTGAGGCTGAGAGAGTTATTAGTGAAAGTTTAAGGCTACATACCACTTTCCTAAAATGTCCATAGGCAAGATGCTTTCATTTCTTTTAATCCAGAGATTCCAAAAATGGGACAGAAATCTGAGGGAAAGCCCCAAGGCTCTACCTCCCCTCTCCCAGACAGCAGCTCCGGTGAGTTGTGAACGGAGTTTCATAAGACACCTAGGTGTAACTCAATTTCACAAACAGAGCCTCCCACGGCTGACATCAGCAAGCCTACCCAGTGACACCTCCCCACTTCTAGTCCTTCCTCTGATCAGCGAGATACAGAGCAAAGTTTTCCCTGGCAGATCTTCCCAGAAGAGAGACACACGTTTTTAAAGGGGGTGTAGTGCGTATCCAGATGCTACTTGCTGGGAAGTAAGTTGCTTTGAATCCAGGCACTGGATTTCACTGGAGGCTGTCTGAGGGAGACATTTCTACCAGGGTTTACTCACCCTGGGCATGAACAGGTTCTACAGGAAGAGCCACAATGCAGCTCAGCTGTGTTTTTCTTTGCGTCCATTCCCACACACATAAAAAAAAACCAGGGCTGGACTTGAAACATGATCTCTGAAAGCCACCACCTCCCCCCTCTTATCACTTACAAATGTGAAACACTAGCGCTTTTGCCTTCATTCGGCATGTCCCTGCACTGAGAGCAAACGTGCCGCCTGCAAGCAAAAACCGTCCATAAAAGGTGAAGGGCTTCGGTTTATTTAAAGAATTTGAAATAATTAAATGGCAACTGGGTTTGCAAAAGAAGTTATGGGACCGAGCCTGAATCTTCAAGTCTAAAAGGCAAAGCCATTTCCCCACCTGAAGTCTTAAAACGTTCACGGAAAATGTGATTCCATACATGTGCCTGTAACAGCATAGGTGAGCTGGAATGACGCAGACTTAATTCGTGATGGCCACTAGGGTGAGGATGGTAGAGTGTACGGACGGGTTGCATTCCGGTTCCATCACTTATTTGGAGGGGGGATGGTGGTAAATTGCTTAACTTTACTGTGTCTGTTTTCTCATCTGTAAAATGGGAGCAACGCCTGCTTCAGGGGGCTGTTGGAAGGATTGGGTGAGTAGATGTTCATGAAGCACTTAGCCCAGGGCCTGGTTTAGAGTAAACATTCAGAGTGACAAAGCAAGTTACAACTGCTATGAAGGACTCTCAGCCCGATTCCCTAATTTTATCATGTCTTTGTGAAGGTGGAGGACAGCCATTTAACAGCAGAAAGAGACGTAGAAACAGCCGTGTGGATCCCCATCTGTCTTTCCACTGATGAGCAACAATCAAGTTTTTCTGTTGACACATTTGTGTCACTCAGGTTCCAATTCTGTGAGTTTCAACCTCTGTCAAAACTGCTGTTATTTCTGTTGATTTCATCGGTGGTTTCCTGATACACCCTCTAGGTAGGAAATCTGTTCACTGCTCCTGTACCACGGAGGTCACAGAGGAGGAGGGAGGGGCGGGTCAGGGGCACGCCCACAGAAAGACGCACGGCAGCAAGCTCCCTCCTGTCTGGGGTACCCAGAAAAGGAACGTGCCTTGGCAAGTGCAAAAATGCTGAGGAGTATGCACCTGCCACAGGCGAGGGGGAGCTCCCGGGGTAATAAAAGACTCCAGGAAAGCTTTGGACAGAAAGGAACAAACTACCTTTCTGAATCTTACCAAATCAAAATTAGATGTCACCCAAAGGAATACCACCAAGAAAGAATAGGAAAGACATGGTCAGAGGGTTTTTTTTTAATAGCACTTATAATATAGGTTAATCATTTAACTGCAGGTTCACCTGGAAATGACTAAATTTGGGATAGTCACAGCTGTAGTGTATGACTGTACGTCAAACAATGACTCACATCGGGCGATCCCTTGCTGTAACATGAAGCAAAACCAAATCACTGTATTAGTGATATATTCTTTTTTCATTTTAAAAAAGTTATACTTGATGAATATACTCTGAGTACCCACGATCAAGCTAGTGGATATGTTTTGCCTTCTGGAGTCCCACAAAAAACAGAATTTTGCAGCATCATGGGCTTTTAGAAAGGCAAACTGACCATTGGGGCACCTGGGTGGTTCAGCTGGTTGAGTGTCCGACTCTTGGTTTCAGCTCAGGTCATGATCCCAGGATTGTGGAATCAAACTCCGTGTCAGGCTCTGCGCTAAGCATGGAGCCTGCTTAAGATCCTCTCTCTCCCTTCCCCTTCCTCTCTCCCCCATCCTTTCTCTCTCTAAAGTAAATCAAACGGAAAAAAAAAAAGAAAGAAGAAAGCCAAATGACCACCTTTTATCCGGCCACCCTTCCATCCATCAAGTGCTTTTGTGACCCAGAGTGAGTCTGCCCAACAACCGTATGGGGAATTACTACTTTTAGCCCCATTTTTCAAGACAGAAAACTGATGCTCAGAGAGGTTTACATAAATTGGCCAAGGTCACAAAGCTAAATGGGAGCAGATATGGCACAACCAGCCTCAAAAACCACAGTGCCCAATCAGAGCACATCATCATGACTCTCTCATCTGGGAAGACGACTTGATGGAGTTTATAAAAATATGGAGTAATTCTCAGATCTACCTCATGGAGTGGGGTGGGGGGAACCCAGCAATTACAACAGCCATTTGCAGGAAAGGACTCTAGGGCCCTCACATTTTACTGGACTAGTGGTTCTCAAGCCAACAACGGTTTACATCACTCCCTACTCTCATCCACAACACAAAGACCACTTGGTGATATCTGGAGACATTTCTGGTTATCGCACGGCAGGGGTAGGTGCTACTAGCATCTCGTGATAGAAGCCGGGGATTCTGCTGAATATTGTACCCTGCTCAGGACAAAATGATCTGGCCCAAAATGTTAACAGTGCAAAAACTGAGAAAGTCTGACCCAGAGGAGAATTTTTGGTGATATGCCTATGACTTGGCAGGTAGAGTGTGTTCAAGAAGATGAAATGTTCCTCCGAGATAATGAACATCGGGGTTCTGTTTTTCTCCGTTAGGTAATCCCTTTAGAGACAAATGGTTGTTCAGATTTTCTAAATGGAAATGTTACCCACCAGAAGGACTGGAAACAACGGATCAGACTAGAAGAGGCCATGCTAACCGTGTCACATGTGCTGAACAAAAACTATGCAACACACCCAAATGGGACACACTCAGGCAACAAAAATTACCTTTTGAGATGTGATATCATAACCTTCCATACATAAAACATCACATCTTAAATGCAAAGAGTACAACATTCTGAGTATTTTAGAAAAGTTCAGATGAGGAAGTTCTGGGCATCAGGAAATGCATAATATAAAACTCTGACCATCCAAGAGGATGTCATCTCCCCAGATTTCCTTTGCAGCTGAATGTCTAACCTCCCAGGACTGACCTAATGACTTCCTGTTAATACATGCAATAGAGTGCTCACGGCACGTGTATGATACAACCAGGGCTGACCTGCTGTTCACGGGCACCTGCATGGCTCTTTTGGAGGTTCACACCTGGCATACAGTTGTAAACTGTATTAAATACTTCAGTAAAATCCCCAACTTTGAATATAATTCTCTTTCCAGATGGACCATCGTGTCCTTAATGACAGGGACTTGGCTTTTTCCTTAAAAGGAATAAAGAATATAAA